GGGATTTTGGCTATTCCCCCCAAAATCCCCACTAGTTATTTTAGCCTTGCTACTAGCAGTAGCCTTTGGCTAGAAAGTGCGGGCGAACATGTGGTGTGATGTACGTTCAATCAAAAACTTGATTACATAATTAAGCTTAGTTTTGTTTTGATTTTAAAGAAGATACAGTTCTGTTTTGTTTCATTATCGAGTTTTACGCTCCTATTTTCACGTACTATTGGATTTACTATTGACTTCAAGACTATTGCTTGTTATCGATTACTATCGATTCCTATCAATTGTTATCGATTTTGTTAATCGATGATAATCGATAATAATAATCTGTGACTTCCAATTCTATCAAATTCCGATATCAATCGCTATTAATCAGGGGATTATTATCGCTGATATGGATTGATTTCCATATCGATTTTAATCGATTAACTAGGTCTGGAAAGATTCAGGAAAAACCTCGCTATACGGTTCATAAAGTGTCGCTGACCAAGAATAGGTTGCGGGCTCCTTTTGTTGCCCGTGACAACGAGGTGGAAAGGATCGTACAATGAAACCCCGCCTTACGGCCACCTCGGTAATACGGTCACCTCGTTATTACGGCCACTTGTTTTGGCGCTTTGCCATACATTTTCTTGTAAAAATACCTCGTTAATACGGCCACCCCGTCAACCAGCACCTCACTGAACGGCTCACACAATTGGGGGTGTTACTAAACAGAGTAACGCAGTAACGAGTAACGAGTAACGGAGTAACGAGAAAACGAGTAACGGGATAAAAATTCATGAGGTTAAAAAAATAAAATAATAAATCCTAATGAAAGAAAAAAAAAACAAAAAATGGTTGTAACATCCTAATAATGGCCTTTACCAATCTCGAAAAATATGTGTATTCCAAAAAGTGCTTAAAACAACGACGTCAACCCCCCCCCCCCCCCCCCCTCCTCCCTCCATCAAAGTCGAGGGTATTTTCGCGCCGAAGAAGTCTGTACAGCCCCCGAAATGATCCCGACCCCGAAATGATCCCCAACCCTGAAATGATCCCCAAATCGACCCCGAAATGATCCCCAATTAATTCGTGGAATGGAATGGTATACCGTCACGGAATTATTACAAGGGTGTTGCATCGTCTACGTTCTTGAATCGCATTTAACATTTCACTACAGTTTATGTGACTTTTCAGTTATCGTTATTGTCATCTAATCGCCTTTATGTCTACTTTTGCTCATTCAACATCATTTTAAAATTTAAAACAAGTGAGAAAACACCTTTTTAAAATTCAATATCCAAGGCATGCAGTTTTAACATCATTTTTAGAATTTTCATATTCTAAAAATGATGATGTGATAACATCCATGCAGTTTTCTCTATAACCCGGGCTATAATCACCTAAGTAGTGATAATAAAAAATGTTATGTTTCTTGATGTTATCAGTTGCAGTTCATGGTGTTACTAAAAATATACTAGACTTTGTGTATTAATTAATACTTTCGTTTAATCTAGTTCAAAGTGTAATCCCAAATTAATAATGTCATTAAAGAATGTGGACAAGTGAAGATTATTAGTCAAACTTAAGTTGATGTTATTCATTTAAATCGATCCATAGTTCTAGGATATCATCCCATTCCTAAAATTAACTGGGGATCATTTCGGGGTCGATTTGGGGATCATTTCAGGGTTGGGGATCATTTCGGGGGCGGTACAAGTCAACTGTCTTAACGGCTGTTATATAATAGGGACCAATGAAATAAGAGGTTTGGATGGATGTAGGTCAATCGCTTTTCTCAAAGCCACGAGGAAACTGAGGAGCAACCATGGGGGAAGGTGAGGTACAGATTTTCTTTCTGATTGCCACAATTATTTCATTTCTTAGTAGAAATAGCTCTGCAGGTAAACCAAAATAATAGAACCTTGTTGGGCCCTTATTAGGGTTCACAACTAACTACTCGATTGCCAAGGCTTAGAAACAGTTTGCTCGCTTATTACTCCCGGGGTTATTACCTTTCCTGCTCAACTTTCAATGTCTTTTAACTCCTCTCGAAAACATGGGATTCACCTTAATACTACCTTCCAAAAGTTAATTATAGTGAACGTTTCTACCGGTTTAAACTGGGAATTATAAATCATGTTTAAAAATAACCTCACGATGCAAAGACTCTGCAATTTGAATTTTGGCAGGCAAAATAGAATTGCTCAGCGAGACTAGTTTTTAGATCGATTTTCAATTAAAGTAAAGTAAAGTAAAGAAACATTTCAAATTGGTTTTCTCGAAGTTGCGTTTAACATCAATCAATGCAGAATAATCGAAACATAGTTGCTGCTAGGGCATGAAATTAACTCTTTTTCTATTTCATCCACTTCGCTACTTAATATTTCAAAGTGGTCGCCAATTCCCTAAGTCGAATAAGTCCTGGGTCCCCAGAAAAAAAAATATGTAAACGAAACAAAACAAGAAGAAAGTGAGAACAAACCAGGAGAAAACGGCCGGTTTACTAGGTGTTATTTTAGAGCTGAAATCCTCCAAATTGACAAGTTTTGAACCCAAATGATTCTAGCAGGTAATCAAAGTAAGCAAAGAGAACCCCTACATATCAACTTAAAAAACCAAGATTGCGTTCGCTAGCGACAGAGTTTCCTAGTGAAATATGTGCCATTTCGCACGATCGTCATGCAGGCTGTATAAGATGCAATTTCACGCCCTGATAACATGCAATTACATGAACTCATTTTTACCCAAATTTTAATTTGTTAAGCCTGGGCTTAATGGCTTAAAGGCAGCTACGCTCCCGTCAGCGCTGAATTCTGCCAGGGACTTTTCCGCTTCTCGTCACGATAGCGGCAAACTTTAAAAAACGCTCATAGTTGCATCATGGGTAATCAGGTCAAGAGGGCGGGAAATTCGAAGATTGGTATTAGAATACAAAGCCAGCTAATTCTTCCTGAAGTCACATATTTGATGCTTTCTCTTTAAAAAGAGTAACTTACGAGTTCAAAGAAACAATACACTAAATCTGGAGTGCAAAGACGTCCGTGATCAGTATTTAGAAAACCTCAATTTTTCCATACATTGTAATTTTGATACTGTCGAATTACAGAAAATGTATGGGAAAATCAAGGTTTTCTATAAATTGATCACGACTTCTTTGCACTCCAGATTCAGTGTATTGTTTTTTTGAACCCGTAGGTTACTCTTTTCAAAGAGGAATCAGCGAATATATGAATTTAGAAGAAATAGCGGGCTTTGAATTCTAATACAAATCTTCTAATTTCCCGCCATCTTGCCCTGATTACCCATGATGCAACTACGAGCGTGAACTCATCTATTGGTGTGTTGTATGAAACGCCTGAACCAAGACAACAACAACTAACTGTATTTTGAAATCGTAAAGGAGCCCTCGTTCCCACTTCTGTCTTCTCCCACTTATGATCCCTTCTGGAAAGGAATGATCGTGTCTTCTAGACTTGCTTTCACGATCAATCTCTTATATTAGGACCTATTAGGAGCTGAAGTGGCATTTGTAGGCGGTTTTTACCGTTCTGCGACTACGAAGAGGGACCTGCATTCGGCATAAGAAGTACTTTCCTTAATCTTCTTACAAAATTTGATTAATCCATTAGTTATCACAATCGTTCCAACTGAAACCTTGAAACTTAGGGTAATCCCATACCTTGTCTTCATGAACTCAATAAGCACAACGTGTACCGCAGAAATCAATGTTATTGATGCAGATGTCGATGTTGGTACTAACGCTACTACCTGGGTACTACTCATGGACAGTGACTTAAAATCAGTATATGCAGTTTTGTTCAGTTGTACATATTCAATGATTTGTGACAATTGTTCAGAAACTCGGCACTTTAAAAATAGTCTTCCTGATCCTGGGCTGTAAGAAGTAACCTTTTAAGGTGAACGATAAACGGATCTTTTTGTTACTCTATCTGCTGGATAGGCAAATTCAATTGCAAATAACAGCCGTAGCCTGGTGACTTTTTCGGCGCGAAAATACTTTCGACTTTGCTGGAGGGAGGGGTGGGGGGGTTGACGTCGTTGTTTTAAGCACTTTTTGAAATACACATATTTTTCGACATCGGTAAAGGCCATTATTAGGATATTACCATTTTTATGTTTTTTTCTTCCATAAGGATTTTTTTTTTAACCTCTTGAATTTTTATCCCGTTACTCGTTTTCTCCTTTACTCCGTTACTCGTTACTCGTTACTGCGTTACTCTGTTTAGTAACACCCCACAATTGGCTTTGAAAACAACAGAAACGGTGTCATAACAATGCCCTTATCCCTGAAAACAAAAGGCAGTATTGTTTTAGTCGACCACTGAAATTAGAGGCTCAAGTGAGGTACTGGACTACCGAATTTTTCTGTAGAAAAAAAAATATATGATACCACCTAGTCTCCTACACCAATTAAAATCCATTGCTTTTATTGTCACATTTTCAAATTCTTATTGTAACGAACTTTTAGTTTTATTTTCATTTTTCTTTTAGCCCCTGAAGAAGGTTTGTTTTCAAACCAAAATATTGGGCAATTTGTTTAAATATGATATATTTTCTGTTCTATTCTTTTGTTTACTTCTTCATCGCCTTGCTGTAAAGATCAGTTTGCCGTTTCATATTTTTCTTACAAGTTTAATTGTACTGATCTAGGTCTACAATTGGGAGATCCGGCACCACTCATTGGTTTGTTACTGTGGACTTTCTGACATTTTATACATTTTGAATTTTTTTCGCCCATTTGTGACCGTATTTTAAATGGGGTTCCACTGGATTGTCGCGAAATATTAATTAAAAACTGGTTTGGAACGAAGAAGAAAAAGAAAATCAATACAAATCTGCGATCAAACGAAAGAAGTCATTTAAGAGGTCATGTAAACCAGTTCATAGATGTGTTGTTGATATTTCCAACTGTATCATTTTGTGCTCTCCACGGGTGTACACATGTCACGGTGCTCTTCGGTGATGACTCTGACCTTGCCTACTCATGCGCACGCCGGTGAGCTGGGTTACATTTTGGCAAACCTCTCTCGCTTCATTTGCTGCAAGGTAAACACCAACAGTCTTTAAAGGCAGCGTCAATCCCGTGTTTAAGGATCTGAAGTACATGCTATTGTGTTTTTCTTTGTGGTAGGCGATTGCAGACTGGCGCTGAACTGAAAAGGTGAGTGTTATTTTTTTTCAATGTTATCCTTATTGTGTCAGTCTTAATCAAGAGCTTAACGTTAAATTCAGTGGCTTCTTAGTAATTGAAATTTGCATTATAAGAGCAGTGACCCCATGAGAGGCGAAAGAAAAATGCAATAAAATCGTATAGGGTGTTTCGTGCAATGCTATTGTAGATCTTTTTAACTTGTAGGAAGTCATCGGTTACATATAGAGACATCGTCGGTAACAAATATCGCATGTTCATTAGTCCAGTACTTAACAAACATCCATGTACCGGTACCTTTGGGCTTTTCTAGGGAAATGAGGCCTCAAAAGAGTGAGAAGTTAAGGTTTCGTAAGACAGGCTACAGAGTGCAGTGCACAAAGCATAGCAGTGCGTGACTCACTTGAAAGTAAAACATTCCTTCAAACGTATTTATTTATAGTGCTATCACAATCTTTACATATAGACCAAAATTACAGCAGACACCCCCGAAGTAGTTTATAGCTAATCGTATTTGTTAAGTACGTATATTAACGAGAGAACGTTTAGCCCAAGCTATTTCAATAGAGCAAACGAACCAGGTTGTTTCAATTGAAAATGAATATTTGTGAATAATCTGTTTGGTTATCGATCGTCGCCACGTCTGTATAAATAAAGTTCAAATAACACTGAAAAAGCCAATGTTTGCTAGAAGACTAGACTGCCTAGCAAGCCAAGTAGTCAACTCGAATAGGTCACGTTTCCAAAATTTATTCTTTTGATCCTTGGGCTGATCTGCTGGTAAATTTACAATTTGTGCGCAGTCGTCGGTATCGAGCCGAAATTCAAGTGATATTTTCTGTCAATAATATGTAACAAAAACGACCCAATTCAAGTCATTTCAAATTGTAAAACGATTAACGAAGAAAATTCTTGAGTTGAAACTTATTTCAGTAACTCTTATGATTCTAAATGTCGTGTTAAAGCAGCGCTGGTAAAACACTTAGAAATTCGTTTGACAAGTGTTAAATTGAGGGGCGGGTTCGTAGAGTTCATTGTGGATATTTAAGTCGACGTTTTTGGTATGAGTATGGGATAAACATTGATGTATAAGATACACACGATTTCGTATTTGTTTTTGCAAACAACTGCAACCCTTCAACTGCAAAATTTTCGGGGAAGGATGATTGTTATCGTCTGGTTGTTTTCAGAAGGACAGCTACGAAAATAGTTCATTTCGTTTTGTTTATCTAATCAACATTTATGATACAATGCTCCTTTCGACTGCAATTTTAGACGTTTGACCGAAACTCTGAAGCTTGTCAGGTATTTTTAGAAATCGCTCCAGCAAATCACATGAAGTCGTGTCTCTGTAAAAGAAATATTCAAATAATAATTAGATAAGATTAGTTCGTCTGCGTATTCCTTGTCAAGTTTTAATTACATTCCTTTCTTCACACCCGGAGTATAACAAAAAGATCACGCGACCAAAAACATCGCCCTCCGTTGTAACTTTATGGATGTATGTATTAAAGAACTACAGAGCTGGGAGAGAACAAGCCAACTCCTATGTACGTTTTGTCTACCTTACACGTTGATATTTCGGTATATTATACTTATCCCAATGTGATTTAATCAAGTGACTGTTTTGTTTAAAATATATATCCTCAGGCTATTTCAAAAGTGACTTTGCATTGGTTGTCAAACCTTCATTCGGTTGGTATGGTTACCGCTGTATTGTCAATTATTCTTGTGAACAGTTTTTGTGCTGATGGACCTTGTGGGCTGTTTTAAACTTCACATACAACACTTACAGCCCAGCTATCGCAACAACGCTGTTGTCAGGATCCCCGGGTTATAATTAAAATGGAGTTGACGAAGAAGATAATATCCTAACTAAGTATTTTAAAAATTCATGTTGTGATAACCCGAGCAATTTGCGCGTTCCGATATCCGTGAAAAGGTTACCGTTTCTTGACATTTGCTTGGATTACATCACGTTTCAAACAAGTTTAAAGTCACTCTCCCTGAGAAGATTTTCTGTTCATTTACTTCGGTCATTTCTCATCCCGGTTATAGTTAAAGTCGTTAAAGCATTATGACTGAGGCTATTTATTAGGCGTGCAGGCATTTTATTTATCAGGTGAGTCAATGAGTCAATGTGAATGGCAATGCCTTAGGGAAGCAATCTTTTTGTTTTTGTTTGTTATCAGCTGTACATATATATGATTATAAAAGCACCTAAATAATGTATTTTTAGGCTGGAAGTGCTTTTCCTGTCAAGAAGTAAATAATTAAACCCAAATATCGACGAATAAAATGAACAATGATAAAGGGTTGGACCTGATTTCATTTTTAAGGGGTGAGGGTCGGGAGAGGTGTATTGAGTAATTTCTTCTGAGTAAGAATTTTTGCCAGCGGTAGTATTTGGAGGAATTTATTTTCTCAGTGTAAACCTTTGCTCTTTTTTTAAACATCCCTTTATTTTCTCTGTTTAAGCTTTTATACAGGCTACAGATCTGGTGAACACTGTGAGAGTTACAATTATAAAAAAAACAGGACAGCTAATAAAATGAAATATTGTGGCAAAGTGCTCTTATATTGAAAAAGGTAATTCTCGTCAAAACAACAAATGAAAATAGATAAGTTAGACACGTGGCATCTAAATTTGAATACAACTATATTTTTTTTATTATCTCAGCATATCCGACTTTCTACTATTCAACACATAATAGCTAAAATGACTGCATAGATGAAGCAGTACTGATCGCCCCTAGATTTTTTAACTTATATTTATTTGTTTTATTATAATCAAGACAAACAAACAACAAGCTTTATTAATAACCGGATAATATAACAGTAGCACTGCCCACAGCTAGCAATTCAAGAGGTGGAACAGTACATGCAAAATAAGAAGTTAAGGTTGAGGCTAACCAAAGACCTAAGGAACTAAGCTAGCTAGCTATGGTTTATCATGTTTATGTTAATGTTGTTGTTACTTGTTTGTTTGGTAAACGGTGACCTTTGGGTGTGTTACCCCGGCTTCCGCTGTAAGACGAGGAACTTTGGAGTTTAAAACGTTTTCAGGTAAAGGGGAACTTTTAACTCCGCACCAGGCGGGAAGAGCAAAGCATGCGCTTCTCGAGCTCCCATTTTTTGTTAATTAACAAGGCGAACGGTGAGTAATGTAACTTCCGAGCTTTCCGTAATATTTGAAATATTGTAACTTTTAAACGAAACTCCACGGATGCATACTATTGAATAATATCATCCCGAATTTTGTAGCATTTTTTGCTGGTTACTGATCGGCATTGTTGCCACAGTTTTTTAATTCTTCTCTGAGTAACTTAGCGAATCTACTTTTTCTCCATTTTTCTCGACCAAACTTGGACAAAAGACAGCGACAGTCACTGCACTCATTGTCCGATTTTAAGACCAAATGTACGTATAACGGTCCATTGATTAAATAGAAAATTAGCTAGAAATGCTTTTTTCAAGGTTGAAAAATTAGTAAACCTCATTATGTAAGACGAGCTATGATAAAAAAACTCTTTACCAGAATTCTCTCTTACTCGCGCCGAGGGAAAATCATCCGTAGATTCGGAAAATTGTTAAAAGATCTTTCAAGGAGCGGACGTCTAGTATAAGTGAAGGGCCATGTACGACCGATATAAAATTCGTACGTCATAAGCACGAACGGACAAGCCATATTTCTTGATATAAAGGTTGGATGAGGCATATTCCTGTTAAAGAATGTCTGTGTGGGAAGGTTTTGATATTTACTGTTATTTTTTTTTCAATACTCGCTGTTTTGTTGGTTGATCACCGCTGGAAGAAGTTAAGTAGTTGAGAGCGGAGAGCCACGATGGTGACTTCGTTTTTGATGCTGTCTTTGTTTGTTTTGTTTCGTTTTTTTTGTGACCACATGTCAACTTTCAATTACACTGTACGTCCACGCACGTTGATCTGTTGTGAGCTGTCGCGTGCATAGAAAATTGTTTCTTGATAGCGATAAAATCAAGGTGCAATGTTTCTCGTATCATGTTTGCCTTTGACGCTGTTTGTAAACCGCTTTTAGTTCACTTTATTATATAGTTGACAGATGTTAACATAATTGCTCAGTGGTAGTCACTGATTTTATCTGCGTTATTTCACCCTTGTACATAAAACATGTGAAAGGCTTTATGACTCGCGTCACCTCTTTGCCCCTTCGACACCGCACGAATGTAAATAAGGAACATTTATGGCTAACGTTTGAACGCAGTTGTCTCATTGGAGTTTCAATTGGGCATGTTGCTCCCAAATGTAAGTTTGACTTCTCAAGATCGATAGCAGAAGACAAGCTGATACAGCTAATTCTCGTCACAGATCGCTGTCAGAATTCATGCTCCAAAGTTCTGAACTGGTTCTACAAGGTAATGACGAATGTACTTAAGATTTTGCGTTTAAAATTTTGACTAGGTTTAACTTTATACAGTGAACGTCGGCTCTTTTGGGTAACCCTAGTTTGAATTTGGACGCTGTCTTAATCGCTTACGAATTCAGTGGCACAGCAGCCAGCGTCCGGAGAAAAATTTGTCTTGGAGAAGACAAAGAGTAATATGACAAGAAAAATCTTTATCTAGCCATTGTTTTGAAAGTAAATCTTATCTACTGTATTTTTATTATATTCATATATTATGCACAGTTTTAGGTTGCAATCAGGGAAATTTCATGAAATTTGTTTTTCGGCGGCAGCGGATGAGAGCAGGAAGTCAACCTTCTTTGGTAACGATAGTGTTGATATTACTGTGCGAAATAACGGCGAAGGACAGTGAAAGAAAAAATTGAAATCCGAGCATAATATAAGCTGTCGCATTTTAAGCGTTAGACAACACTAGCTTTGGTTTCACAATAACATAGTTTACAGAAGCAAACGAAAAACAAACATATTTCACGTAAGTAGTCGTTCTTCTTACAATTAATAAAATTTAAGATAATGCATTCCTTGCATTCCAGGAAGGAGCCAAACAGGCACACTTTATTATAATGATCAGGGGCGTAGCCAGCCATTTTATCCTTTTAAGTCCGAGTTGTAAAAGTCCTGAAGGGGCAAAGAAGATGGGGGGGGGGAGGGTATCGGTGGGTTAAGGACATAATAGCAAGCCACGTAAACGTAAAGCACGGTTGTTTACCATTTTTATTTTACATGGGCAAACCGGTGGCTTCACGGTTTGTGTAAACGGTAAGAAACAATTCAGGACTGACAAATTTCTTCCTGGAATCGCGTTAATTGTACAAGACAGTTACATTCACCGAGAAAGGGCCTCGAAAACCTGAAACTGGTATCAAAGATGGCTGTGGAGAAATGGTAGACGAATTCAGTTACAGTCTGAAACATTTCGTCCTGAAAAACAGGACTACCATTTCACATATTCCGTTACTCCCGGCAATTTTCCTATGAAACGACCCAGAAAGTGGTGTCCCATTTACTTTCCAAACAGATTTTCCGGAAACTCTTGGTAAATGGTAAACAACCCATATCTCTGAAGTCGTAGTGAACACTGACAAAGCGAGGAGCGAAAAATGAGCATTATGGTGACTGTGACTTTTCTCAGTTGTAAAGGTGAACGTGTATCGTCATAGTTGTCAAATCAAGGCAACCGTTTCAGTGCAGATTAAACATAGTTAACCAGGGTTTGAAATCAACTCTCTTAAACAAAAACCAACAAACAAGCAAGGAGAAAACTGTATACCGGATATTATTTACAAGCTGAGTCCCGACAAAATTCTGAGTTTTTAAGCAGCATGATTCTAACATTTAATCAAAATAAACAAAGGGTTCCCATACAACGTACCTACTTAAAAAAAAATTTAAAAAAAAAACCAAGATGGCTCAGCGACAGATTCAGTGTTCACACTATACGGGATTTCTCTTTTGCCGGCACGAAAATCATACCGAATATGGCTTCTGTTCACACTTAAAAACGGTGATTTCGGCGCGATTCTGTAACGGAGTGAAAGCTTCGCCATTTGGTGCAATCACTCCTTGTTACATGATATAACATTAGCTCATTTTAACCCACAATTTCGTTAAGCCCGGTATAATGACAATTAAATGATACAAAATACAAAACCAAGACCTCTCGTTTTCACGTGACGTCCACATACACTAAAATCAAAAGAAAAAAGAGCCATCATCATTTTTAATAATAATAATAATAGCGGGGCTCCCGCGCGCGAAGCGCGCGTGGGACAGAGCCCCATACTCATGGAATATGGTCAACCTCTTTTCGTTTGATTGTCACGTGATTGACCGAGCGTACGTACGTACGTACGAGTCTACAGATTGTACGGGTGGGGTAGGGGAGACTATCAAAAGGAAGGAAGGCGTGTCTTGGCGAGTCCACATCTTTAATATAGTATTTTAGGACATTCACAATATGGTCAATTGACAGCTGTCAAAACAGGATAGCCACTGACCAGTATCCCATGACCATATCGCGGGCTCATGTGTCAACTCATCGAGGTGACGTGATTTATTTGGAAGCTGTCCGCTGACCAGTTAATTGTTTTACTAGATCGCGAACAATGTTCAATCTCATACTTTTACTAGTTAAACTGATAATGCACACATATTGGACATCAATGTTTTAATCAATTGACAGCTGTCAAAACAGGGTACCCGCTGACCAGTATCACTTGACCGTATCGCGGGCTCAGGTGTCGACCCATCGACGTCAAGTATTTTTTGAAGTTATCCGCTGACAAGTTACTAGTTTTCAAGTGATCGCAGGCTCAAGTTCAAGTTTTTTCAAAATTCATATGAAATATGTCGTGTTTATGTGCTACACAATTAAAATTTTGATTGCAAACTGACCTCGGACGCGAAAGTTCAGGAAGCTGTTACAGGCAGGGAAGACAGTTGCTTTTGACTTTTCTCACCATGGTCACGCGTTGGTCACGCTCTACGTCCAATTTTTATGTTCTGATTGGTCAAAATTTGACAGGTGAGTTCATGCGGAAAATTTATGCAGCATCTTGAACCTGTTTATTTTGACAGCTGAAGCTGACAGAGTTTTGTGTCAACTTGTGATGTTTTTAACTGTCTTTTTTCACTGGATGCGCAAAATGAAATTCAGCTGCTATCAGGATGTCCTCTGTTATTCATGGCTAGTTGTTTATTGGGTTTTTGGTTGAGGAATACGTCGCTTGACAAAGTTGGAAATCCGATTTCGGATGGCATCGTTTTCGTTTTCACCTTGCTTGATGCGTAAGAGGATTGCAAAGTCTGAAGCGATACTGGCTTTTCTTGATACCTTTCAGGAGCTGCATCTCGAATGGTAAGCCAGAGAAATTATTGTATTTGATGTTTGTTTTTTTGGATCTAATTTAATGAAGTCGAGAGGAGTCTATGCGGTCATTTAGTTTATGCACGTTTGTAAGATTTGAGACAATGATCTGACCGAGTATCAGGTTTGATATAAGCTTACAGAACTTTAAAAAGCCTTTAGACAGTTTCTCACCGCAAATAGAAAGAAAACGTTCCAAAGAATATTTAGTTATAATTCTGGCCGGAAAAGAAAGCTTTGAGCGATTTTCTTGCCTCGAGTTCGTCTTTGAAAAAAGCAAACACCGGGAAGCCGGCTTAAAACATAAACTTAAGCTTGAAGCTTGAAGACTCAGGATTTTTAGGGATACTTTAATACTTGTCTTCCTGAATGAAAATTGTTGTTTCTGTAAATGTTTCACCGAATTATGTTTCTTTTATTGATTGTTAGTAGTCTCTCTTGTAATTTTAATCGCTGTGCCGATTGTTTTCAGTCGTTCAGTGAACATCGCTTGCAGAGTACTCAAAATGCCGCGCGTTAATAAACCATTAAATAAAAAATAAACGGAATAAATTCTTTATAATGTTGGAGCGTAACTCTGTTAATGTTCATTCAAACACTCGCCACAGCTCGCACTACAAAAGTGAGAACCGGATGGCCGTATAGGTGATTTTGGAAATTTTTTTAACAGTTTATGAATATTGAATGAGTGCAATTTGTATTGTGAAACACTGCTTTCTGTCCGAGGTCTGCCGGTATGATAAAAACAGTGCCTCATACTACTGTTTCACCTCAGATGTGATGTATAAATGGTATAAAAGGTTGGTTTACACGCACCCAGATTTGTTGACAAGATTTTGCAAAGCAAACTTGTCGAACGCAAAAAAGTTAGCCTGATTTTTTTCCCACCAATTAATCTACGGTGATCAAGAGCCATTATGGCTCTTACCCCATTGGCTCCTGGAGATTTTGCTGAAAAACGCGTTTCGAAGCTAGTCGAGTGGTTTTCTGGTCGCTGTCGTGCTATAAGAGCTAAAACTTACCAGAAACCGGTTTACAGGTCGTGCACTTGGCGGCCTTCTGATCCAGATGCAAAATATCAGCTTGCGAAGTTCGGGCATGCGCAGAAAGCAAAATTTCGAATTTGGGTTTAAAAGTGACACAGAAGTCTTGACTTTTACTTTTCGCTTTCTCTCCTCCCTTCTTTTTTCGCTTTTCTTTCCTCATTTTTTTTCCTCTTGCTGGGCATTTAGTAGGCTTCATTTTGGTGGGAAGAGTTTTTAGGAAAGCTTTTAGGATCCTAGATTAGGTGACAGGAAAGGTAGGTGAGCAATGCAACAAGATTTTCATGGAGATTTTCAGGTCAATGTCACGTGGTTTTTTGCTTCTTTCTCCGGTGTCCTTGACTGAATGGTAAATGTAAATGTAAATGTCGCGATTGAGAGGACAAACATACATGTCCTCTTTACATAGCTTTTTGCAGTGGGCTCGAACATCAGCATACTAAGGGCGCCGATGGCAGCCGCTATCAGTCCATTTATGAGCCCACTGAACCCTCCCAACCCATGATGAGTGATGATGTAAGTGATGAAGATAGACCACAACACCGCGAACTACGTCCCCTACTCTTTTCGAATAGTGTGTCCCACAGAGTTATATGTGAACAAGGTTTGTGAGACGGGACCTCCGGTTTATCGTCCTTGTCCGAGAAGACTTGAAAGTCTAATCATTTGCAGATGTCATTACAAAGACAGCACTTTCTCCTCAGTTATTTTTAAGACCCTGAGTGTTGGTCCGGCCAGGATTCGAACTCGCGACCTCCCGCTCAGCAGACCGGCGCTCTCCCAACTGAGCTAACCGGGCGGCGGTGCTCATTCTGGTATGGTTTGAAAGATCTCTTCACTCTACACAAGTTAGCGAAGAAAGTTGTCCTCGACCGTTAAAACTGATGACGTCACAAAAGGTAGAAAGGACCTGGATCCGCACGGGCGGTTACGGGCGGTTCAGGGGCGAATGGGTTAAATGTGATCGAAGATGATTACCAGTTTTTGGGTGTACATATGAGGCTATCAAGTCGATGTAAGATTTGGTTCACTGTTGGGCTGTTTACAAATTATTTTTCTCTTAAAGCAGGTAGCCTTTCCCTCAAAAGTCACATAAATGTGCTCTAAAGTTAACTGAATTGTGGAATTCGAATACAAGTTTATTGTTTAATTTAAATTATAAATTTATCAATGGGAGCCTCGCTTTTAGCCCTGGCTAAATCTATATATTAACTTTATTAATCTCCTCAAAAAGGCTTTTCAGCTTAATTTACAATGTCAAATATCTAAAACTTAGTTTTCCAAAAATACCCTTAAAAAATGCTGTTTTATATTAACTTTAAATACATCTAAATTAGTGATAGACTGAAAGTCGTCTGGGAGACTATTCCGCAGCCTTTGGCCTCTGTAGGTAAACGCACGCTGACCTGCAGCCGTCCTACAGAGTGGTATATGTAGGCGGTCCCTATTCCTAGTGTTGTAGTTGTGCACTTCCGATCCGGTTTAAAACGTCTGACAAAGATATGGAGGTGCAAGTCCATTTAAGCATTTAAATACCATGGTAGCATTCCTAACCTCAAGTTGTTTAACAATTGGCAGCCACTGTAACTGCTTAAGAATAGGTGTAATAGGTGTAACATGATCAAATTTCCTCGTTCCAGAAACTATCCGGGCTGCAAAATTTTGCACTGTCTGTAATAGCTCGATGTTTTTCTTGGTGCTATTAGCCCATACTGATGAACAATACAATAATTTACTGAATACGAGAGAATTAATTATAGTGATCAGCGTACGCCTATCAAACAGGTATTTTACGCGATTTATTTTTTATTTGTCAGGCATAAGAGGTCCTACATTTACCATATCTTTACAAGTTATTTTTAAGCTTGGTCGCCTCTTTCGTAGTAAAAACAGCTTCTTTTGGGTTCAGCATCAAGTTTGCAATTATTGAGGTAGATGTCGATGTTCTCCGATGATCTCAGTGCTGGAAGTGACCCGAGCTAAGCAGATCATAACTCACGCTGGCCGCAGCGGCAGTTGCACTTTGTTTGCTTGCATGTATCATCAGCATAAAGCGTATCATCAGCATAAAGCGTGCAGTGGGATTGTTCTGCAGATCTTTGCAAACCGTCATAGTGGATGAAAAAAACAGATGGTCGTAGAATCGAGCCTTGTGGTACGCCATAATTTAGGTCCAAAATGTCTTACTCCAAACTCTTATATACCACAAATTGCTTTCGACCTGCTAGGTAACTCTCGAACCAGCGATACGCTGTCCTTGTTATGCCAGCCATTGTCAACTTAGAGTGTAATATTTTGTGGTTGATAACATCGAACGCCTTGCGTAGATCTAATAAAGGCAGCTACAGATAGAGATTTGTCATCAATCGCCCATTTCCATTAATCGACTAGACGTATCAGGGCAACATTGCAGGAAGAGAATTTCTTGTAGGCAAATTGGTTTCCACTCATAAGGCTTGCTTGAGTATCATATTCCCTGAGTTGAGAGTTGCGCCTGGATATCAGACATCTATGCATATACATCTGTCTGTTGCTTGAGGCCGTGTTCAAGCCATTGTAGCCGAAAAAAATGCAGGGGGCTTGGCCTCTTGCCCGGTGCTGGTGGGTGGCTGGCAGCTTTCTTTCAAGAAGTAGGGAGTAGGGAGGGGGGCTTTTGACACTTTGATCAGAGTTTATGGTTAGTAAGCAGTACCAAGTCAAGGTGTTCGTCCTGTGGGTTTTCCGGCCAAATCATAGCACTGACTGAGAGTCATAATTCTAATTGCGGAGCTCTGGGCGAGCAGGTGAAGTGCTTATTATAACATGTAAATTGTTCCCTCTTCACTAAAGATAAGGTGTCGTTTAGATAACCAAAGTAAGATATAGTTGTTTGACTATTTCCAGGCCGCCATATTGTTGGACCAAACTAGTCCACCATTGATGGCAGCTCTATACTGATCTGAGCTCTAGAAATTTGTGTAAACATTTTAACGCATACCTGAAAGTCGGAAAATCTCGCAGGTCTGAAAATTGGATAAGCTGACTATTTATCAGTGTTCTATAATATCCCACGTCTGCTTATGTTCCATTAAAATAAGCACATTTTCGTTATCAGTTTGAGTAGAAGCGTTTTCTTTCAAACTAGCCGATTGTGGCTTGTTTGTAACTAACCAATGGAGGCAAGCGTAAGAGAGGAGCGACTAAAACTATATGATCAATGGCGTGAGATTGTACTTGAGACAGGAGTTATTTTGAGTCTAGACGGAATTTGAGAGAGACAGTATTCGATAACATCGATAACTGAATACATACATACATACATACATATCCTTTATATAAAGACGATATGATTTAAAGCTCAAAGCTTGTGAGGTCGTGTAAAAAAGATTACAAATGGATAAAACTATATAAAAAATAACACTAACATTACTTACAAAATACAACTACAATTAAAACTCTAAAAATATACAGTAAGATTCTTACCAAAAAAATACGAGGTTGAAATGAATTTACTTTAGTTACCTCTAAGTAAATTGACTACAGCATTCAAAACGTAAAAATAGTCAAAAGCATTTAAAATCTTGGTAGTGCCTGGGCAGGGACTGGACCGACTGGGCGCTAAAATCAAGTTCCGTAAAATAAGAGTCCTTCTTCACTTTGCGATAAAAAACAGTAAACTGGTCTGTAAAATGACTCGAGACAGCGTTCCAAAGAATAGCGCCTCTATAGCTAATAGAGTTTTTAAGAAACTGCGAGTTAAAACGCGGGACGATTATGTTATTACTCCTTTTGAAGTTGTATGCAGTGCAGGGTTTATTTGTCAAGTATGAAAGAGCCCTAGATGCTTCTCCTATAAACACGCTATGGAGTAGTTTAAAGTATTCCAGTTCGAATGTCGGTAAACTTCCTCAGGAGGCATATCTCGGGGCAAGTTGTATATTATTCTGGCTGCCCTACGGTGAAGTACTTCCAGAGAATCAATGCGTAAGAATTGATCTTTACGTTCGCTTTGATAATTTTCAACTATTATTCAGTTTCAAGTCTTTTATAAAGGCGTTCATCTTGCTTATGGTTTTCTATAATTGTTATTTTTGCCAAATAAGGTCTTTTCCATTCCACAGAAAATCCTAACGGAGAATTTTTATTCCTATTTTTGAAGTATTTTACTTTGTAGAGGCCCTATTTTACAGGTAAGAGGCCAGGGAAGATTAATTCCTTGTAACTTTTGCCTTTATCAACTTTTTTTTGGCTTTCTTGGTGAATTTGTTATTCTCTGTCACTATATTTGCCTGCCTTCTTCTTGTAAAAACTGTTACTACTATACTATATTTGCGATTTCTGTTAACATTTGTAGGTATGTGCTTCTACTTTTTTATTTTTATGCCATAGATCTCCCCAAGCAATGTCTGTTTTTTTTTTATGTAAAACCTTCTATAAGGACAATAACAAGCGTATTTCTGAACTCTTCAACAGACCTTCGTCGTCTTCTTGTTGAAATCAAAACAACAACAACAACCTTTATTGTTAAATCTAAATAGAGAATTTTACATGTTTTGATAGCTAATGAAAAGAAAAGGAGAAATTGTTACATAAAATTATGCGTTACGATAACAAAGATGTCTAGGAGCTAAATGAACATACGTTTTCGTGCCAGCGCCTAGCTATAAAATGATATTTTTTAGAAGGGGTGATAGTTATAATAGTAGCAAAAAAACAAAAACAAAACAAAAACAAAAAAAGATAAGTAAGTAAATAACACACACATAATACATACTTCAGTAATACAGGGAAACAGGGAATACACAAAAACCACTTAGAATCCTAGCTACGGTCACCACATATAGGTTTCAGCCCACTGGCTACTAAATAACACACAAATATCGAAGAAAATCAGTCTAGGACATCTATTCGAAAGCTCCTTCGTTAGTGCCGACCAGCGAAACAATACCGCGGTATCAATGTCTTTGCGAGCTAACTGTTGTTAATTTGAGAAACACGAATGGTTGTGAACATGTTTATCAACGTCGCTAAAATATTTCGAGATCTTCGCACTCGATTGCATCTATTTTATTTTACTGGGCAAAAACGTACGCCTTTCTCGTACTCTCTTAGAATCAGCAAAATATATGAGCATAAGACAGAGGGAAGGACCATCTCTATTGTTTTCATGTATTTGTCTGTGATCGATTCATCACTGCCAGTGTGACGTCACATACTAACGGGCGAGAGCTTTGGGTGGTTTGTGCAAAATCTCGCCCCATATAAGGGACCACACAGGGGAGACGTAACACACATTTTAAGTAAGGTAAGCTGTTTTTCATTGAAATCCTTTCATTTTCGTAGGTTATAGAAACGATAGTTTTTTTTCCCATACAAATCCTTTTATTTCGAATGTTACGCAACAATGCCGATGTTCGCCGATGCTCATATTTCGAGCTTGGTGTACCTGTGGTTGGAGCTCCATATTCCGAAAAGTTGTCAGCTGTTTTGCCTTAGGCTGATGTATTCGGAACTTTCTACCTAAATAAATATTCCATCGATGTAAGGGCGCATTCTCTGCCCTTCCCCTTTGAAAATTCAGGTTGTTCTGCTCTTTCAACTGGTGCAAACTTTACCCGTTCTCACCGATGGACAGCAGTTATGTTCAGAGAAAGATTACCAGTTCTATACTTGGTGGTTGCTTGTCGGAAGGTGTGATGTCCAATTTACATATCGCGTATGTTTGCACAGTTTAATTCTAATGACAGGTGTCCCTAGCTTACGTTACGAGAGTGGAATGTAAATTACTTTCTCACAAGAGAGTCGATGTCGCGTTACAGGCGACCACTGAGACGTCGTATGAGAAATTAAAATACTGAGGTCTGTGCTGCCTTGACTTCGTGTTATGAATGGAGTGACAGTGGTCACACAGTGGAGCCAGAAAGTCGAATAAATCGATGAATTCACCCGAAAAAACACAGGAATACATCAAAGGATAATCTACTTTATTTATTTTATAAAAAAGGGTAAAATATAATGATATTCAACGTTCGCAGGGCACAGAATTTTATTTCTCATACAACGCTTCAACCCCCGGGGGGGACTCCGCATATGAAAGGGGTGGGGATGCTCGTCTTCTCGCTTAGGGGTGTGAATTTCAGATTTTGGTCTCGCTTAGGGTGTTCTGGGCAAAACACCATTATATTTAGCCATAAAAGTCTCTATTAGGGTTGCACTCGAAGAAATATTAAAAATGTTATATTTTCAATTCGTTTTATTTACTCGATTCATGTAATCAAAGTTTACAATGATCGCTTTTAGGGGTCAAAAAAGGTTGGACCACGCCCAGATTGGTCTCCTTTAGGGGTTTAATTCAAACTTTCCGACTAGCATCCCCACCCCTTTCGTATGCGGAGTTCCCCCCGGGTTTCAAAGGTCGCCTGTAACGCGACACTGACTTGTGAGAAAATAAATTACATGCCACTCTCGTAACGTGAGCTTGGGACGCCTGTGTTCCAATAGGATCTCGGTCATCTGAACGCATGACAGGCAGGTTTTGTTGCGTCATCCATTGGAGATCCTGATGGTGAACTTGTGTTCATTTTACACGGTGACTCGGTGTTGAGTGTGTGAAGCATAAAGTTGGCCACTACCGTTTTATGCCTCACGTTTACCATGGAAAATAATCGCTACCTCACGAGGAAACAACAAACAATTTAACCATTTTCTGATCACGGGAAAAAAGGGCCGATCACGCGTCCTTCACCTCTTTCATATTATTACATATACTAAGGGACGGATTATTACAAAACTTATGGGGGGCGAGCGAAGTGCAAAAAAATATTCGCGCAAAAGAAAATTAAATGAAAAAAAAAATCATGCACGCCAATTAACCCTAAAAAATATTCATGCTACGGCCTAAAAATTCATACAAGGAATTTGAAAATGAAAAAAATTCCTGCGGCTCAAAAATTCCCCACCGCCCCCCCCCCCCCATAATTGTTCTAATGGTCCGTCCCTAAGATGACAAAGTTGAGGGAGTTAAAACAATAGAAACACAAGTTACAGATTTGTGCGGAACTTTTAAATTAAGTCTTCCTGCTTCTCAATCTCTTTCTATGTATAAAACAAAAACGGTTAGATTTCTTCTGTCCATTGTATTTAAAACGAGCTTTAAACTGTAAAAGACGTATCCAGTGAACTACAGACTGCGTTGGCGGCTGAAATCTGACGGCGTGAACGCAACGTCTTGTAATCGTTTCAAAATAATTGCCCTAAGTGTGTTGGAAATCGCCTAAGAAGGTGCTGCTGGGACTAAAATCCGCTGCAAATGCTCCCTCAGTCTTTCCTGTCGACATCCAGCAACGAGAAATACAAATGCGTATGTCGGTGGCATCTTAAGAGTATCACATTTAACTTCTAAATTTGACTTTTACAGGAAAATAAGTAACTACAATTTCTGTGGCTTTATCTTCTTCTGAGCCTTAAAAGCTATTTCGTGACACAACAATACTGGACAAAATGCATTAAGAAATTGGTGGCTTCCTGCAGAGAAAAGGCCCAAACATTTAATTAGGAGTAACTTTTCTACCGGAGATACGAGAATGCAAAGTTCACTCTAGTATATAAACACCAAACCGTTTTATCTTCTCAAAAGAAACAAAAAAAAAAGAGGTTGATGGAAAGTTTTATGTCGATGTCCGGATTCTCTGTATTGCTGCCTTTTCGGGATGATGACAATGATAAACACCCATATTTTCAGTTTACTCTCGTCGCAAGACGTTTTAAAATGTTTCTTCCTTTTTATGCCAATAATGGAAACAGGAAAGATGAATCTTGGAGACTTCCTGCTGACCAAAACAAAAACATTTAATTATGGAAAAGGAGGCCACCGGTGATATGTGTCAAAGGTAGCTTCATTGTCAGAATTATCGATAAGGTGGTGTAATCCACTGGGTTTACGCCGTATGTTGAAACCAATCAGAATAAAATCAGAAAATCAGTGCTTTAAAGGCTTACCGCGACATATCAATCTGGTCCAAACGTTATCATTTGATGTTTTCATATCGGCATTATTTAATTAAAAAAAAAAGAATAGTTTTTTTCAATATGCAAGGCAACTTATCATTCTTTGCTTTTGTTACAAATCACTAGTAGGTTTTTTTGTCGCTTTTTTTAAAAGAATCGAAGACCTTAGACTTGCCCTTGGTTTTTCTAGTGTCATTTCCACATCTGTTACCAATGCCGTATAATTTCATCAATCCATTTCTATAACTCCTGTCTGCTGAGTGACTAGAAAACAAAGGCAGTATATCCTTAAAAAACAAAACAAAAATCTCTGGGTTTTCAATAATTGCCAAAAATGGATGAGAAAAAAACAAAAAGCAACATCGCGACCACAAGAAAAAATGCAAATAACTTAATATTTTTAACCTGTTCTGATCAAGTGGTTCTGTCATTTTGAAGCTTGGGAAAGATTTGAGGATTGGCTATTTAGAGTATTCTTCTTAAAAGTTAATGATTATTCTCAGTTTTCAATTAACGGGAAGCACAAAGCTTTTTCTCGCTTATCGGTGAAATCGAGTTTATTGTAGTCATCCATTTTCCACCTACGGTCTTCTGCTAAATAGGTGCTAAATGCTAGTTTTCTGTTTTAACCAATAGCAGATGAATGTTTTTTCCTTTTCTAATTATCGCCAGCTGTATTTGACTTTCAAATAAGCCGCTTCAGCCAACACTATTTTTCGTGTTGCTAGATGCTGTAAATCAGTCTTGCTTCGTACGCTACGATCCCTCTGTTCAGTGCTGTTTAAACCTTTGGGGTGAAGACACATTAATTTTGGTGGTAGGAAATTGTTATAGTTGTTAAACAAAATTATATTTTTTTAGTAGGGTGACGTAGGCAAACGAAAAAAAAAATTTCTTCAGTCTGAACACTTGGGTTCTTTTGTTGCAGTATCACTCCCGGGCAAAACAAAACCCGAACACCTCAGTTCTTTTTGTAACAGTGTCTCTATCGGGCAAAACAAAACCCGAACATTTCAGTTCTTTTAGTAACAATGTCTCTCTCGGGCAAAACCACAGCTTACGAAGTTACATTTATGTCAATAATACGAGAAATATGTGCAGGCAAAAGCTGTTCTTACTTTCTTCGTTCTTTTTTTTTTGGCCTAAGCTAGGGGAAAAAATAAGTGTTCATCCTAACCCATTAAGGGCACAAATCCCATTGTGCTGAAAAAGTAGGTTTTCTAGACATGAACATGCTTCGTCAGACTGGGCGAGAATCGAAGAAACTGAATTTAGTGGATTATCTCCAGTGAAACGATTTACCAGAATGGGACTTGATGGGAATGTGAACACTATCTATCTGGCCTTTCATGTGAACAGTGGCATTAGCGGTGCTCGACCAAATGCTCATGTTAGACGATAGCCAGTATAAGCTTTTGACAAACCAGCAACCACGTTAAGTTTGCTGAAGTAAATGACAGTTTATTTTCAAATCACATGTCATCATCTGAATAATGAAAAGCTTGACATCCCACTAGCTTGCAAAGCTGACCGTGAAATCTGCGGTAAAGAAGAAAAAATGCCAAAACGTCACAAAGCCACTATGGCAGTTGTAGAGCAAAAGCACTAAAACCGGTTCTATCACCAAATAGTACTTTGATATGACAGAGCTTAGATGAAAAAAAATTGTTTAAGATTGGCGCTACTTTTGGGAAGCGATGCCAATGTTTTTGTTTTAAATAGTCACAGTTTCAACCTTTCTGATTTGCTTGACGTTAAGTTAATATGTTCAAAGGTAGAAAAATGAAATGTCAATCTCAGTTATGGTCACCAAGTACCTTTTCAGTTAGTTATAACTTAAAAAGAGAGAATAAGTCACCCTTTCAAGACTCGAAAAGCCGGGTATTACTTACTCACTTGATTCTCAGACCAGTGGTAGTACATCCACATAGTGGTTCTTAGTTTACCATTCCTGGCTAAATTGGAATTTGGAAACGTTGGTTTTTGTGAAGAGGGGAAAACCGGAGTACCGAGAGAAAAACCTCTTGGAGCAAAGGAGAGCACCAACAACAAGCTTAACCCAAATATGGCGTCGACACTGGGATTTGAAATCAGGCCACACTGGTGCGAGGCGCTTGCTCTCACCACCGCGCCAGCCTCGCCCTCAAATATATAATATGCTATTGGTTCCTACAGGAAGGTTAAGCTCTGCGAGCATGATGTCGAAGTTACAAGCGCCATATTTCCCGATCACGAAAAATGATGGAAAAATTAGGTAATTTATTTGGCAACAGAATCCATTTGGCATAACGTGCACAAATTCTTGTACATCCTTTAAGGCAAAAAGTTAGCATCAATATTGCAAGTAAAAAGAGGTAGGCGAAATAATAATTTTGAACCGATGTGCAAACAACGACAGCAACTTTCGATTAAATGTTCACTTCTGCATGCACCGAATCTAGAGAATAACTAGTTTTGCTAGATAGTTTTCGCCCCCAAAAAGCTACAGACCTGCAGTAAAATAATAGGAAAAAAACTGGACAAATTCAATCGGTCAAGCAGAAGGTGTCGATAAACGCTGCCACGGTAAACATCATGTTTACATTTTTAGTTTACACTAGCTTGAAAACAATGGAATCGAATAACTTGGTCAGCAATAGCGCCTTTCTTGTTCATGAATCCATGTGTCTGCTCAGTTTGATACGATTTGAATCAAAACGGGCTTATTATGTTCCAATGTAAGATGTGTACAAGAACATCGTCTCATGTAGGCCGCCATTTCTCACTCTTTACCTATTGTTTTTTCAATCTGTCATTTGTAAATGCCCCGGCTCTTCAAAACCAGCAGCTCCCGTTAATTAGTGACAAAGAAGCAGCTAAATAAGAAAAATGTTCAAGTTCAGCCAAATACTCGGCAGAGAAGGGAATCGAGAAAAGCACATGGTTGAGCCAGCGTTGCAATAGTCACACGAAAGCGTGTGGTATCTGGGTGAAATAGGTCCACTGCAAATAATTAATATATAAATTATATATAATTGTATAATATAATTGTAATCCTGAACAATTGAGCTACGGAGTCCATTGCATTTCTGATTAACTTGAGGTACTTAACCTTGTATTTCCAGGGGGAAGGACAGATAAATAAAGTTTAAATGGCTTACGTCATCTCAAACACAACCAATCAGAACGGAACAACACCGATTCCAGCCACATCTCGCCCGCTTGATGGAGGGGAGGAATGGTTGCCTCCATTCCGTCTCTTCCTCGAAGTAGTGAAAGCTGCCATCATTATAGTAGCGCTTGTGTGCAACATAGTTGTGGTGTATGCATTTATTGGCTACAAAAAACTACGAACTAGGGTAACGAATTACTTTGTAATATCGTTGGCAGTTTCGGATATTCTGACAACCGGGTTGGTAACAGCATTCAGGTTGGACTATGATATAAGTCACAAGTGGAAACATGGTGAGTTCATGTGCAATCTTTATACCACAATGCATTTACTCGCTGTGCCGAGTTCAGTCATTAACTTG